GCCAGTTGTTGCTGGATCCCTCTGTGACGCTGAGCCCCTGGAACAGACTGCGCACGGACGGGAGCGAGCGGCTGCCCGTGGGACGCAGAGGTGCCGAGTGAACCGCGGCCGGTAGCCCCGGCTCCGCCTCTGAGCTCTCCTGCCGATGCCGCGACGTTACCGGGAGCTCCAGGCAACGCCGTACGGTTTCTCCCACTCGGCTGCTGTTGCCAGTTTCTGCACAGTCAGACGAATGGATCTGTTTCAGAGCTCGCCCAAGACACAGGCCATCACCTCTCTCAGGGACTTATCTTTGAAGATGAATCCTACAGGCTCAGCCTTCGGCTGCACCAAACCGCTTCTCAGAAAGAACAGCTCAAGGCTGCAGGAGATAATCTGGTTTTAGGGCTCAGGCCGCAGGTACGGGGGGCTGCTGTACTTCCCAGGGCTTCCACGGCGCATAGACATTGGTTCCAGATACAGCTCAGCATTTGGCAAAATCAGTCTTAAAAATCACCCTTACAGGACAGAACGTGTATTGAGTAAAAGCTCCCCCAAATGGTTTGAGATACAAATAGATGTAACAGGTGTCCAGAAAGAGAGGCATAAATACTCATTGCTTCTCAGGAAGCATAACTGTGCTCAAGATTTAAATGGAACTGAAAGAATGAGAGAAATCGATATGAAAATGTATGCATTTACGTCTGTCATGAGTAGGTACTGCACTTCTCTCTAATGGGAGGAAACAAGACACCTGATGACTGAAGAGGCGGTTGAAATGGCTTAGGATCAGCTAATGATGAACCTGACCTAAAAGCAGTTTCATTTCAAATGACAGAATCACATAATGGCTCCGGGTGTTTGGGTTAGCAAGGCTGTAATCTAAGATCTAAGGAAATGTCTAGGCTAAAATCTCTGTTTTGGAAGGAAGAGAGAAGTTACCTAAAATATCATTTTCTTATCAGTCATTTACTGAAACCTCCGCTAAATTAAAACTTGTGTTTACTAAATTCATGTTGAGGTCCTAATGCTGCAGGGACCACCCAAACACAAGGAACCCTGTCCATAAGGAACTCACTGTCAGCTCAGGGCATAGAGGATGTGTCTAAAACTCAGCCGATGCAGCCCTCGGGCCACTCCATGCGCAGTCCTGCCCACAGCAGAGTTTTTCTGTAGCTACACACGGTGCACAAGGCAAGTCCATCGAAATGCCACAATCCCGTCAAGACTGGTTTTCCTCACCTTGTGAGCTTGGTCCAAGGACTGTTTCCTGAAGTCGAGCTCATCATCCAGGTAGCCCTTTTGCTTGCTGAACAGCTCCTGGGGACAGGAGGAAGAGGCAGTCAGCGCAGCGGCCACGGCACTAACGCGACGGCTCTTCCCGCTGCCTCCGCCCGGTCCCTTCCCCCTGTCTCTCGGTACCTTTTCATTCTCCAGGTCCAGCATCTTCTGCTGCAGCGCAGACTCCGTCACCTCTATCTGCTGGAGCCACTGTGCACAGAACAGAGAGCGGGTGCTTTAGCCCAGGGAGCAGGGGCAGCTCGCCCGCGTGTCAGCTTCCCCTGCGACCTCAGGGGGGTCAGCATGCACTGCAGGGACTTACTGAAATTCACTAAGTAGAGAGGAAAAATTAACTGTATTATCACATTTTTCTTTCATGTGTCTGTTGGTGATGGGAAAAAGCATGACTTCAAAGCCTAGCCCTTTACCTTCTGACAGCGTTTTGCTAATTAGGTAACATTTTAAAAGAAGCAATGTCTGTCTGTGCTGCCTGAATATTACCTTTATTTTGACGAAGGCTAGTGTAAGTGTAATTCCACATAAAGCATCATGGCATTTTGTGATGCAACTACCGTTTACATCACTAGCCTCTTCAGGTGAGCTATTCTGAGAGGGCCAGATGCTTTCATGACACGCGCTTACTGACGGGGGATGCAGTCGTTATTACCTTTTCAGCCAATGTGAGAACTGTCCTTGCTTGTATGACAACTACTTGCTCTTCATTGGTCAGATTCTGCACCAAAAGCAGAATATAATTACAACAAATCCCAGTGTCTTGTTATTAATCCACTACTTGGGCCACTGCTGTATTAAATAAATACGAAATTAAATATGTTCAAGGAACAATAAACTAAGGCAAAGCAAATTAGTGCTGTAATGCAACAGTGCTGTAAAAACAATTGTTAAGTATTCGTGCCGAATTCTTATCACACATACAGTTAATTCTTCTAAGATTCTCACATTTACCATAAAAAGAGGTGACACTGGATCTATTTTGACCCCACAGGGAACAAGCACACCGTTGCACAAGACAAGCTCAAGCTTAGCACAACGTGCCACGGAGAATAGCGGTGCAGCCTGAGGCCCTGCCGTTCATGACACGGCAGCAGGGTCAGGCCAAGGCAGGGTTCGGAACACGTTGGAGAAGACGTCAGCTGTTCAATCCACGCTTTGTGGCTTTTCACGAAATGAAAGCACTGAAATGATGTTTTCCATTTCATCCCAGACTTGGTCTTGCCCTGACCACATCCCCAGGAGGAGAAGTGAATCCCTCCAGTCTGGGGCCCGCATTTGCGCAGACCCAGAGAGCCACTAGCGATGGCTGTCCCAGGGGAATCGGGAAGGTGGTGAGGAGGGTGAGGGTGGTGACCTTCAGCTTCATGCACAGGGCTGGGGACTCCCTCCCCTCCGGCAGGGACGGGAGGAGGCTTTTCCTGAGGACCCCTGGAACCTGCCTCTTCCACAAACATAAGCAGTTTTTCAAAAACCAAGTTGTGTTACATTAAAAATGAAACCACGCACACAGCGCACTAACGGTGTCCTTTCCCGTACTGTGAGTCGTCCCCTGACCTGACCCCCTGGCTGTGGGGAAGAGGAGGGTGTCCGTGTCCCCCAGCCCCCCTCTCTGTGCCTGTCCCCAGGGATGTGCCTGCAGGGGATGCATCGCACCCCTCCGACCCCTGCTCCTGCCCAGCCCCTAGCGGTACTCACTCGCCCCAGGGTTTGCCTTACTCAGAGCAGTATTTGACACCTGACGGTTCCGTGGGCAGCAGCCAGAAGCTGCCGGGGGGCTGTACAGAAACACCAGTGAGAAAACGCACGGAAAAGGATGGAATCGCTTGCACAGAGGCGGGACACGGCTTGGCTTTCCCAGGCTCCCTAAGCGCCAGACCTGACGACGCGCGGCCACGGGGCAGAGTCTGCCATCGGGGGCTGAGTCTGTGGTGCTAAACACGTGAAAACAAGGAAAAACCCAAGTGGGAACAATGGTTATCTTAAAGCTATCTGAGTGGAGAACGGGGAACTTCCCCCTGGGTCCCAGCTGGAAGCTAGTTGTTGTATGTAACAGGCAAAAAAAATAAATCGGGAGGAAATAACATTACAGGCTGGAGATCATTAATATAAATAAAGAAGCCAAGAGGAAATGAAAGAGAACAGAACATGTGAGAAAAGCTGTCACTTATTCTGTTCCTGTTTGTCCCCAAGTCACCTACTTGGGACCCTGTTCCAAAACACTCTGCACGGGACTAACCTGACATTAATAATTCCCCTGAAGACAACATTGCCACAGGGATTAATGGATTCATGGTATTACCCTTCTGCACATTAGCAGGGTCAGTCTTAGCTCACTGGTGATTAAACTTATACGTATGGGGGGGTTTATTCTTTGCCCACAAAAGATTTTAGGATTCTTCATATTTCTGCCAGTGCCAACATCACTGACTGCAGCAGCGATGAAGATTATCAATTGCTTCCATGTGTGCCAGGTCCTCCCCAAACTCCTGGCTTGATTTTGTGGGGCTGAGCATGCAGATATCAGAGACCGGGGACATGGAGACATGACCCCCGACTGGTCTGACTGCAGAGGTGGATGAGAGGCACTTCCAGGCTGCCTCCGCGGCCCCGGGGACGTTGTTTTTGGGGGTATCCAAACTGTACAGAGGCACGGGGGAGAGCTGGGGCAGCTCAGGTGAGGAGCTGAGGATGGCGGGGACCTTTCTGCAGACGTGGTGTCAGTGGTGGGGGTTCCCAGGGAGGAGCCCTGCGGTGGCCAAGGGCTCTGCGAGCCCCTGGGCTAGAGAGGGGCTCTGCTCTCCTCTGCCCCTCGCAGCCACAGGGGCTCCACGGCTCTGCTGGCAGACGGGAGTGCTGGAAAAAAAATGTACAAGGGCACACAGATCTTCTTCATACGTAACTACATGTGTAAGTACTCCCTTCCATTTGCTAAAGGAGAAACACTTTCCAATTTGTTATTACTTGCTTCTTTTCATGCTGCTGTTGTAACTTTTCCTGGTTCCTATCAAAGGTTTATGGGTTATTAGACAAAATTAAAACACACAGCTGCTAAAACACAGAAGCAAAGCAAATGCAGAGTAAGCAAATAAAGAAACCATGTGCGAACAGTGGTCAGAAAAAAACAAACACCAAGGTTTCAGAACATTTTCCCGTCATTGGAAAATCAAAAAGCAGTATTGTGACACCGAGACCCGCACGGCACTCATCAGAAGGCTGTTAACAAAATCTTAAAAAGCCAGAAAATGCTCAGCTCGTAGCCCAGTACTTTGACCACAGGGAGGACAGGCTGTGCAGTAGCAAACCAAGCAGGCTTTGCTAACTGAACATGAGGACAAATATTTACCAAAGCATGCACAATTTATTAAAGGAACATACACTTACGGCGTTATCCCCTAAAATGTCCAACTTTTTCATCAGCTCTGCTACTACTATATCCTGACAAGAGAAAGATGGAAAACGAGGAGTCAGAACAGAGCGTCTGATTTTATTTAGGGAAAGGAAAATATGAAACGAGAATCCCTTACTGTTACACCTTCTGCCTCGCAGTAGACTTGGAGAGGGCTTTTCCCCTCGGTAAAAGGACCGTGATGGAAGTTGATGGCAGGCGACCGTCTTTCTCTCTCCTGAAACGACAGGAATTGCTTGGTTACCCACTCCGGTGTGTCACAAGGGGCAGCTTCCCCAGGAACTCGGTAAATACGATCTGAAAAAGGCCCACTCTCGCTGAGCACCTGCCTAAGCGATGCTATCACGGCAGGGCTCTATTTTGGGTGCAGAGCACACAAAACCCTCCCGCACCCTGGGGCTACGGACACTGGCAGTGGCAGCAAGGGCTGCTTCTGCGGCCAGACCACGGGCTTTGGCGATGGCCCTGGGGGCTGAGGGGGAAGAGCTCCACCCCAGAGCAGGGCAGACGTACCTGTCAACGGTGCTCGTATTGCCCCACCACGCTGCTTCAGCGGGCACTGATCCTGACCACTGGCCTATTTCTCTGACTCCATAACATACCTGAACAAAACTACACACTTACACCTGGTACAACATAGATGGTGGGTGTTCAGACCTTTCTTGTAAGTGGCTGCTTTGTCAATCTCTCTTTGGAGAATTCTGAAAACAGCTCCCAAGAGCTAAGAGATGCTGTTTACACAGGCAGTGATATAGAAAACAGCTCAGTGGAGTAACCGCAGCCGTCTAGGCCACAGGATTCCCTCTCTGCAGGTTTAGAGGGTGGTGAAACACACCCAGGATTTTTGGTAATGGAAAAAAGTCCCTCTTGCTTTCCCACCTATGATCTGTCCTGGTTTTATCTCTTTGCATTCGCAGAACAGACGGAGCATAGTAAAACGTGTATCTACCCCACGAGCCAACCTTCTGGATCTTAAAGTGACTTGAGCAGTACGACTGCCAGAGCAACCTGTCAAGAACACTGGCATGATCCCTGGGTGCTCGGGGTTTTTTTCTCTTTTCTTAGCACTTTGTACCAAACCCTTTGGTCTCGTTCAGTGCAGTGTGGCCCTTTACAGTAAATGTGGGCGAGTTCCCAAAGCCGCGGTGGGCCCGGCCGTGGCTGGCGCAGCCCCGGGCAGGCGGGCAGGACCGTGGCTGCAGCACGCGCTCACTTCAAGCTCCAGGATCCTGAACTCCAGGAGCTCGTTTTGATCCTTAGCGTCCTGGACGTCGTGTTTTAAGCGAGCTTCCTCCGCTTCCATCTGCTTTATCTGCGAAAGCAAGCAACATGTTGTTAGCACTGCCTGCGGTGTCGCCCGAGTCCTGCCCCTCATCGGCCGTGCCGGGGAAACGCTGGGGTCAGAGCGAGCGCCGAGGGTCCGAGCACACCCCCCGGGGTCAGCATGAGCAGGGACACGCGGCACCAGTGACAGGGAACGTGGGGCTTTTCCCCAGGGCCGCTGTCCTGAAGTGCCCTCGCAGCAGGACATTGAGTGGGGCAACAGGGAATGCCAGAAACCACTTTTTCTGGCGGGTTTATAAGGATCTTGTTATTATATGTGAATTATTTCCAGTAGAGCTGTGTGATACAAACTAAAATATGCACCTTCTGCATTCCTTAAGCTACAAATATTGTTTGAATAATACAAATAAAAACATAAACCACCTTTTCTACCAGTTCTTGATTTCTTCTGTACAGTGCTTGCTTCTCCTCAATCCACTTCATGTCCTTGAAGAAGAAATGACCAGTACTGTAGGTGAAACTGGCAATGTTTAGCACAAACTGTAGCAAGTACCTCATTAAATCATGAATATATATGGATAGAGGGACAGAAATGACTGCATATGAAACTGTAATCCCATTATTTCCTAAAATAATTTCCTAAGCTAAAATTTTCCATCTTATTTTAGCAGTCTAGTATACAAGTGGAATAGAGACACTCCA